GACTCGGACGAGGAGGAGAACGATTCTGAGATTATTGTTTCATTTGATATGAGCAATGAGGTCTTCCAGAAGATATCAATGCCGGACGATTTCCACTCTCCTGATTTTTACATTAGTGGTCTGCACATTCTGAAAGGATCCCTTTCCCTTGTGCAGTGTCCCTGGTCAGCTTTTCAAGAGAAATTGTTGAAGGTATGGGTGAGGAATGAATCTGGTGTTAATGGAGTTTGGACTCAATTAACAACGGTAAGGTTGTTTCCAATTGCTAGAACACCATTGCTGTTTTGGAAGGATGATGATATTCTTGTGGAGTATAATAATGGGAAGGATCTGGCGTCATACAACGTTGGTACACAACACATTGATGATATTCCCATTTTTGCAGAGGTTATAAATGTAGGTGTGTCTTGTTACATTTGCTCTGCAGAAACTTATGTATGCAGTCTTGTCTCAGTTTGGGGAAATTAGTTAGCTTTGTGAAGGAAGCTTTATTTTGATAAAAGAGGACACAAATGTGTACATTCATTGCAAAATGTATTGTATCTTTTATGTTGGTATTATCTTGTTTTATAATTTGATTTGATGATTTAATACCTTTAGTTATGTTTTATAAACATATATTTCAATCGAGGGTGTGGAGGGATATTATTTTGATTGGTACTTTGGTACGGAGGGAGCAGGGGTAAGAAATGTTTAAAGTTCAAAATGGTGTCCTTTCTGGGAAAATGGTTGGTTGTGTAGGAGAACTTTGAAGTGGAATTTTCCTGGTTTAATTATGTTCTTTATCTTCTTCAGGGAATGCATGTATTTGCAATTGGGATATTGGTTAGGAGTAAGGTGGGTTTGAGAGTTTAGGTGGAGAATGGCTTTATTTGGGAGAGGGTTTGATGGGAGGTTTTAAGGACCTGTCAGTTTAATGAAGGAGAAAAAATAAGCGAAGAGGATTTGGATCTTGAATGGAAATGGGGTTTATTCTGCTAAGAGGGCTTGTAGGCTTATAGAGCTCAGTGCAGGTGATTTAGAGAATTCTTTGTTGGTTTAGATGATGGCAACCCAAGAGGAGGTTGAATTGGGTTTTTGAAAACTTATGTAATTTTTATGTGTAAATTGATGAACAGGTTCATGCAATCCCAAATGCATATATTAAAATGCAGAAATTAAAAGAGTAAAAGAAGGGAAAACTCAAACACCATGAGTTATAATGGTTTGGTCACAACTTGTATTTAATCTACTTCTCAAGTCACCAACTTGGGAGTTTACTTTGGATTCAAAGCTTCTCCTCCAAGTTCAAGGTGTAGAGGAAACCATTTGCAATAGATTTCTTAATGGCCATCCACCTGCAACAAACTAAACCCTTGTTACAATCCTCAAAAACCCAATCTTATATTACTAGTATGGTTTTTCTAGGTCTAATAAGATTGCTTAATCTCCCTCTCACTTTTCTTGATGAATGAGAATGAAGAGAACAATGATCGCAGATAATCAAAATGAAAATTTTAAGCACAAAAATTATGAAAAGCTGTAACTTTTTTTCTCTTAAAGATAAAGGCTCTTGTTTCTTTTCCCTTTACAAAATGTAGCCTCCAATGACTTCTATTTATTATCTAAGAATGCTCAATTAAGGCTTCTGGCCATTGCCCTCAATTTGGAAAGAATTAAGTTTAATTTGAAATATAAAACTTGCCTTTTAAACTTTAGTTCCAAACTATCTTCCTTCGTTTCCAGACTCCCTTTTAATTTTCTTGACTCTTGATGTTGAATGTTTACAAAAGTGTTGGACTTTTACTTGGTGTTAGAACTTTCTCATTGAGTCCTGTAAGTATAAAACACAATAACCTCAAAAGTTCCTGCCTTCATTCCTTGGTATCAGAATTTTTTTTTAATATAAAAGAAATTCAAAAATAGTAGCTTAAAAAATTCAAAACCCTTTTATTTGGTTCCACACCCTTATACACAAAGATGCATTTTGGAAAAATTTTGAGAACGAAGCTAAATTTTTTTTTGGAAATATATTTCATTCAACAATTAGACATGATATTTAATCTTATAAATATAATTCCAAAATTAAAATGCAATTACTTCCTTTCATAACAATAAAAGAATTCTAAAAATCGACTTTCCAAAGATGGAATTAAATAATCACATCCTAATATTTGAAATTAACCCTTTCACATTTTGAATTGAACTTTTATCATCAAAATTAAAATAAAAAAATTTAACTAATGGAATAAAAAGTATGCAAAAAATAAATTTACATTTCTATTAAATTTTAACAAAAGTTATTAATTTCATATCGTACCAACTGGTATAGTCGATATGTATCGATTTTTGTATTAAACCAAAATAATACATGATCTGATTTTGTTTTGGTCAAATTTCATTCGTTTTCGTTAAGTTTCGGTTTATAAGCTGGTATTTCGACATACTGGCCAATACACAAAAGTTATCTAGTACAACTCAATTCAAATTTAAAAAGGGTAAATTTTATTTTTTGTCTTTAACTTTAATGTTTTACATAATTTTCATCATTTAACTTTTTTATGATACTTTTTTTGTCCATTATTCATATTTTTTTTAGTCTTTCTATCAATTATTTCATTAAGTTTGTTTAAATATACATATTTTTAATCCTTTAATTTAAAGTGGATGGATGAAAAATATGCATATTTTAGAAGCTAAGGGATTAAAAATGATCATTTTAAACTTATTTTCAATTTATAGGAATATAATGGTTTTAAACATTAATATCTTTTATCTTATTTTAAAATTTGATATTTAATTTATAAAAATATATATTTATAGCGATAAATCCGAAATGGTGCTCAAAAAATTCCAATATTCGATACGTATCGTCCCAGTAGCAAAACTAATACGCATGCAGTATGGTATTGACAATTTTGATTTTAACACATCAAAATTAAGGTCAACAGTTTACTTCTTGGATATTGATTTAGAGTAGATTTGTTGAGTGAGAAAATCTTAGATCAAGTGTATAATGAAGAAACTTATGAGTTAAATATAAGGAACACCACTCTATCAATTGCCAATTGGTTTTAGATTGGATACAAATCTTATATTGAATTTACATACACAATTTTCATATGGTATCAGAGTCCAGATTTTGTCATGATTACTCCAAGTGCTTATGAGAATTTATGGATGAGATTTTATGACTAATCCAGGCGTGCATGAAGAAGACCAATCCAAGTGTGGATGAGATTTTGACTCATCCAAGTGCTGATGACGATTTATGACTTAATCCAAGAGTGAATGAAAATGACCAATTTGCGTTGACAACTAGGAGGTGGTAATGAATTTTGAGATGGTAAGAAAACAAGGATAACTTCGAGCTTTAGTGATCTTCTTTGTATAGAATTGGAAGAATAGCCTGTTTAGTTGACAATCAAATTTGAGGTGGTGGATCTGATTCAATTAGGATTCTGTTTATGGACAAAGGGAAACGTTGGATAACGTTTGTGTCCAGTTTCCATTTCAAGACAAAAATCCATTAAAAAATGCATGCTGTGAAAGGACAAGATATAGGAATACGACATATATGTGTGTGTATATATATATTTATAAAATTTATAATCCACACCAAGTTCAATATTCACCATATTGAAACCGCTACTTATTCGCTCCCCAAAACCGAGAAAACTTGGAAGAAAAACAAAGTATTATTTAGCCATAAAGTGGATCCATTGTCTAATGTTCCATGCAAATCATGCGCCTCAGACCCTGGCCGGATAGCATGTACTCAAATGCTTTGTTGATCTATGAGAAAGGCACAGAGTGAGCTACAAACTTCTCCAGTCTCTCCAGGTCTAGCTCCTATTGGAATCAAGAAAAAGTGAAGTTAGTATTTGTGGGGTTGTTTTGGATGTTTGGGGGTGGCCTGGGTTAAACAAGATTAAAGGAAGAGATGTTAAGAACTCGCCTTGTTCATGTATTGGTCGACAACTTTGGGAATGTCAGTGCGGGGTTTGTAGTTGCCAAAGAAGGTACCCTTGAGAGTCCTCTCATTTAGGCAATTGACTGGACTTGTTTTGAATGCATCATCTCTGCTCGGGACACCAACTAGCACAGCAACACCCCAACCCTGAGAAGAAGCACCACAATCCAGTTATGGAAGGGCAACAAGAACAAAGACATCCTTCTTCTCTCAAGTATAAACATTTGAAGCTACTTAAATCATGAACGCATTCAAATGCTGAGATCATAGCCTGGTGCATTCAACACTACGATCCACTCCTCCATTTGTCATCTCGGCAATCACCTGGTTATAAAATTGCATATGTTAATCTTAGCATAAGATGAAGCCACTAAGCTTTTACCGTACTCCAACACTCAATTAACCACAATGATAATCTTTAATTTTGAGAAGTAACTTGTCAAGAAAACAAGGAAATTCTTTTGAGAAGTGTTCTCCAATGCAAACAAATCCACAACATTTCTTAAGCTTCGAATGGGAGTCAAGTCGTGGTCACTAGAAAATTTTTAGCTAATTAGAAACAATGTTTTAATATAAGTGACAATTGATCATTTAAGAGTGTTTTTCTTGTTTAGCTTTTACAAATATGAATTGGTGCTCAATATATAGAAAGGGTAAATGAAATTATATCATTCAATAACGAGTAATAATAAAAAGGATGAAAATTTTGTATTAATAAGGTGATATAAATAATATTATTAAATAAATTAATATATATAATATCATAAATATAAAAATATCATTAAATAATATAAGTATTATT